AAGAGGAAAAAATATAGTTTTAAAATAATCAATTAAGGATTGTCTAAGAGCTAATTAAAAATATTAAGGGTAGCCATATTCGTTGACCTCTCGTGTAGTTTAAAATTCTTGATGATAGGACTGTTAGGATTCGTCGAAAGTTTTGACGAAGAAACTAAGTGTTTGAGTTTTTCCCTGATTTTTCTTTTAGTACAAGTTTTTTTACGAGGGTTCACAACATTAGGTTTCCGCATGCTACTCGGTCGTCCTTAAAAAGACAATGAGGATCTTTAACGTCCGCACCTAGCCTTTCAAGCCTTATCAAGGCAGGGTTCGCAACAGCAGAAGTTATATCAACCCTCGGGGAGCCGATGGTTTTGAAGAAAAAAGCCCATTTGCAGGTATGTCTGTTTTGAATGCAGGGCCGCTGGATTCGAACCCGGACCTTTCCCTTACAGCGATGAGCGCCGTGTCAAGCTTAAACCGTTGCGGCCACTGACGCCCCTTTTGCGCATTATTGATTAATTGTATAAATAGAAGCCGTGTAATTTAACCGGATCTTGTAACAACAATACCGGATCTTAATTTTAATAGTTTTTTTTTCGCTTTTCGATGTGGTATCGATGAAACGTCGTCCACATTCCAATACGCGTTCCGGTTGGTGATTCATATATGGCTAGAAATTCAAAAAGCGTTTTATTCTCCCCCTCGGGCGGCGGATTCAGGTCATCGAAATCCGCTTAAATACAGTGTTAAAAAATGTAGGGCAGGAGTACTGTTAAAAAGCTCACGTCTGTCGTATTACAGACGAGAGAGACGGAGAGGCCTCTTCTCACAGGCGGCTCAAAGCAATAAATTCATATGCGTGAAGATTTTTTGAAGGGTAACTTCTTTTCATCATTTATTGACCCTAATTACACGTTTCATAATCTTCCTTCGGAGGTAATGCAGTAAAGAATTTCTGGGCGTAGCGCTGTAATTACTGAATTACCGACTGAGCTTTGCCTGTTTCTTAAGGACGCCCTTCACGAACATCGTGGTGACATCCGATGTTCATCCCTGTTCTATTGTTAAGATTTTCTAATTATTATAATTTCAAGGTTTTTAAATCTATTAAACTTGTCACTGAGCTACTTTTCTTTATTCTGACATTTTAATTTGACAGAACACATTTGCCGTTGTTCTACACTGAAAGAAAACGTTTTAAAATTTTTCCATCAATGAACAAATAGCATTTCTAGTTTAGATAATGAATGTATAACTTTTTGAACTCAATGAAAGATTTTACAAAGATTATTTGGAGATCGTGAGATACGGCCTGGTGTGACGTAGGTTTAGAAAAAACATTTTCTTTATCGTGCCAACGTTTCAATCTTTATTGAGAACATCTTCAGAGCCTGGGATTTATAAACATTGTTTAAATTATACAAATTATACAAAAACATGTAGGATGTGAAAAAACCTACGTCACATCAGACCGCATCTCACGATCTCCAAATAATCATTAACTAAGGTCACTAAACACCACAAATTTTACAAAGAAATCAATAGTATTAATAGTTATGAGTATACAGCATCTATAAACAGCGCCATAAAAATAGACAAAATAAATGTAAAATTTAAAAAAAGGCTTGATAATTTAGGACCTGTTTTATTCAAAAAAGAAAACAATAAATTATTGAAATTATAACTAATATCATAATAATACATTCACGTAATAAACCATCAAAATTGTAATATGACTTAACTAATTTTAAGTAGGAATTTAAGTAAAACTTAATTTTTATATGTGATATCCTTTAAAACATTAAATAAATAACTCTGTAACAAATTGAGAAATTAACTTCCTTAAGAACTGTGTACAATTTTTACTAATACCCATTCAACCTGTATCAGACCAATCCTAACCAAGTTAATATTAGGAAAAAAAACAGATTTTTCAATTATTTAAAAAGTATAAAAGTGTCTGGAAAAATGATGAATGCAATAAATACTTTATAACTAAGTTTCCAAACGATGTCAGTTTGGCCTAATAAAGACATATTCGTTCTCTAATAAACCGAGAAATTGAATGAAAGGATGAAAAGAAAAGAAACGGCGCTGATATACTGCTTACTACTTCCTATTTTTTACTTACTATTATTATGTTACTTCTATTAATATTTTAAAAATTCCATTATATTTCGTGGTCCGATTGACCAAATAACTTCTTTCAATGAATTAATTTTTATGTAAGGTATTGACTGAAATGAAAAAGCTAGTGTCGCGAGCGGGATTCGAACCCACGACCTTCGGCTAGATACGCCGCTGCTCTACCACTTGAGCCATCGCGACTTCGATCCACTCGAACACTAACTTCCCATCTCAACCCAACCTTTCGAATTTTCCCTCCTTTTTGCCATGTTTCCAATGTCGTGTAATCAGGATTCGATTCTCGGCGACAAAGGAAATGGCCACGGAGAGCTTTAATGAAGATATACTTCGTTTTTCTTATTAAAGCCATTATATTTCGTGGACCGATTGACCAAATAACTTCTTTCAATTAATTAATCTTTATGTAAGGTATTGGTTGAAATGAAAAAGCTAGTGTCGCGAGCTGGGTTCGAACCCACGAACCCGTTCGTGACACCAGCTTTTTCATTTCAGCCAATACCTTACATAAAGATTAATTAATTGAAAGACTTTAAAGATTTTTTCAACTTACTTTAAGACATTCCTTCATTTCACCTTGTAATTAGCAGGTATGATTATGTCTCTCTTTTATCCACAAAAGTACTTAAATTAAGAAAAAAAAGAATTATTAAAAAATGGTAAATTATTTTACCTCTTTAAAAAATACCAGAATATAATCAATCTTAGAAAACATTACGTCCGGTTGACCTAATAAATAACTATTCTATATCTACAATAATCTTATAAATAGAGAATGATTATTAAAATAAAGAGGGAGAGATAGATAGGTAGACACGGAGATAGATAGATACAGTAGAAATCCGTTCATCCGGACTTGAAGGGGCCGGGACTTGTCCGTATGATCGAAAGTCCGGATATTGTGATTTTATTAGTATCGTGTCACAAAAACGGAAAAAACACGTACGAAAGTGATCACTTTTATTCGTATATCAAGTCACATTTAATGTAATAGATAATTTTTATTAGTTTTATTTTTGTTTAAGTCCGGATACGCGTTTCTCGAAAAATGTATACGTAAAATATACCTAATAAAAATATACATAATAAAAATACCTTTTCAAAGGAAGCCAACGTACGAACATCACGAGACAACAATTTCTAGTCTTTTAAAATAGTATACACCTTTTATTCATTTATTTATTTTTTATTTTATTTATTTATTTAATTTTTTAACAAAAACTTGCCTCTCCGGCCTCTTCGATCGTGTGACTGGAAGAGCGATTTGGTGGCCTTTACAAATTTCGAACGACGAATTAAAGGTCCCATAGTTGAATTATGAATTTAAAAAAATTAATATAAGTACATTAAGAATTATGAAACATTTATAAAAAATGTGTGGTGGTTAATTAATGATTTATGATTGATGTGGTAAATTAATTAATGATTTTTGCAGATCGTGGGACTATACTATATACTACTATACCAGACCCCACCTCACGATCTCCAATTAATTTATAAAAAATATTTTAACAAACAGGTCTGGATAATCCGGAATTTCTGATCATCAGGGTCCGGATAAACGGGTTTCCACTGTAGATAGATAGATAAATATATTAAATAGATAGATAGATAGAAAGATAGATAGAATGATAGATAGATAGAGATAGAGGGGGAGAGAGAGAGAGAGTGAGGGAGAGAGAGTGGGTGTATGTGTGGTGCGCGCGCGCATGTGTATATATGTGTATTGTATGTGTTTATTGGTTTCAAGGGCACTTGTATTATTTTGATATTAAATATGTACTCCCAAATCGAAAATTAGATTTCCTTTTTTAGTCACATATAAGACCATTCTCGATTGAAAGTAAAAAAACAAAAAGTAAATGAGTATAGAAAGTTAGGAAATTCCGTCAGATTTGGCTTTGGCTTGATTCATGATGGCCATGTGATAAATTTTTAATTTTAACCACAAGAGGGTTACATGACGTTCTGACTGTCCGAAAAAAGCACTATTTAGGTAAACCGCAGAAAACGTTTCTTGCAGCATGACAAGGCAAGGATACAAAATTTCACGTCAGGCCATGTTAAAAATTGATGAATTGGAATTCGAACATCCTAGCGGATGTGACAGTGGAAGGAGTGACCTCTCTCCTTAGGATTACCACTTATTCTGACCCACCGCTCAATTTTGCTGGGTCATACACTCGACAATGAAGTTTAGGGCTTTGGCTCAAAAGTAGGAGCCAACAGATGTGACAACCGTTCCAAGTCGAATCACTTAGGCGCGATTCAGATCTTGTCATTATTAATAGCTTTTTAGTTTGCGTTTCGACGTTATATGTCATATTAAGTTGTGGGTTTGTATTAGTTCAGAATTTGACTAAATGTAAGAATAATTAATTACACAAATGCTTTTCATCTTCCAGATATGAAACAAACTAATTAATAGTCTGTTTGTACCTTCCTATGTATTGAGTTTTGAAAGCGCGTTTGTGGTCAGAATTTGATGGTCTGAACGGCATCCTTCACAGGTGCGTTATGCAGTAAGTACAGGGGATTCTGCAGAATATGCTTAATTGAGAGGGGTTTGGGCAAACGAAGCCACGCTACTCCAGCCCTAATGAACCGATCGTGTCAAAGATCGTGGGAAAATCGGCATCGGTAGAGGACAACTCGACAACGCGGGGGCGAGACGCCGGCCACGAGCACGTCCCGGTCCCCGGAACAGACAGAGGGACGTCAGGTTATCAGCAAAGGCCCGGTTAGAAAAAGGTGGGAGCGGGCCCAATGCGAGCAGCAGTTACGTCACTTTCAACCAATCCGCGCCTGCTGAAATGACATCACTTGCTATTCTTAGCATAAGAATCTTGAATGTTGTGCGGAGCGAAACCCGCGTATTCTTCAGTCTGTTGTCGGCCGGCTGGCGTGCCTCTTTGTCACGATATGTGCCATTGTGCTTACACTTGTTTTTGGATTACGCACGACGTCTCTAACACAAAACCAGCTACAACATCCGACAGATCCGTATGTAAAACTCTTTTCGCTTATTTTATTCTTCTTCTAAATCCAATATTTAGTTGCACACATATGAAAATTCAAAAACACAAGAAAATTACAAGAGAAATTGTCCAATCTACCCTACTCAATAAATTTTTCCTTAATTCGGGATGGCCCAGTAGAAATTACCGGCCAAACAGAATGCAATGACAGAACGTCATGCAAAAAATACAAAAGTATAAAACGTACTCAGGTATAAGATCCTCGCGAACTTTAGTAGAAACTTAAGGCTTTATAGTATCAACGTTCCTTCCTGCTTCATTTTCTGAAAAAGATTAACAAATTGTACCTTTCAACGTTATACAGGTTTTGGATGGCAAAGCATTTAATTGCTCGCCTGTATTGTAAAATTCATTAAATCGTGTCATAAATACGAATAAAATCAATCAAATCACATACACAATAAATGTATTATATGTACGCACTGAACAATTTGTGATGATGAGATTCCATTCTTTGTAAAATAAATAAAAACTATAGCAAAATTTCGAGCTCCAGATTTATACATATACTATATGTATAAATATATACTTTTTTGTATAAAGCAAAAAAAATTCTAAAGCGGTCGCAATTAAAAAACTCGTATAGTTTTGTAATCTTGGTTTTGACAATATATACGATCATAAAACATTTGAAATCTAATTAAAAAATACCTCTAACTACATGTTTTTTAAAAGACGGCTACGAAATATGTACAAATGGTTAACTAAACTAGTTATTTGTAAAAGGCATGAACATATGAAAAAATGTATGTGCAGACGTCAGTTTTAGAAATGCAGTTTGAGCGTGGACTGTGCGATCAGAGTGATTGAGTTGCTGAAAAAAAGAATTTACTAGCGAGAAATCATTATTTGCGAGAATGTATGTATTAATGAGAGTGTGGTTCAACTTATGCAATAAAATTTTAACCGCTTAAGATCTAAAGGCATAACAACCAATTGGTTCATTGCCTAAAAATATATTCAAAAAATAATTTTTATCGATTATGATCTCAAAAGTCCCAGATAACTTTTGAAGTAGGACTATCTATTAATTTATATACAAAACTGTATCGTAGTACTTTAATTACCAAATTGTACCTTAATTTGCTAAGCGTGTTTAATTGTAATGATCTCAAATCGGATTATCCGCTAGGTTTTTTAAAGCTATAAAAACAATAAAAATGTATAGCTGCACAGATCACAGTGTTTGGAATGGGATGGAATTTGATCGACTCACATTTAGAAAATTGTAATTGTCAATTTGTCTTTAAAAAAAGGTGTATACGCTTGTGCGTACGGGCGCGCATATTGTTTACAAGATTTGGCTAGGAGGATTTTCGTTTGATACGATGAGGTTTATGTTTATATCTTTAATTTATTGGTATTTCATCAATAATAAATTAATTAGCTGGGTGGCAACATTTTTAATCTACAAGGGCAGTTGTAAAAGTTATCGTACATTTTTATACCAATAAAAATCATTCAATAATGATTTACAATTTGCAATTATCTTTCAAATATCCTACATATCTATTGTATGTTCAAAATTATACACATGAAATTTGTGATTGGAGTTTTATCTTCCTCGTAATTATTTGATCCATTAAAGGAATTTTTATTGCTACTCCCAACAAAACATTTAATCTTAAGCCTCAGTCGTAAAAGTTGCTCAATTGTAAGATATAAAATATATTAGAAAAAAAATAGACCCTTTACTACCATTTGCTAGTTCCGACTTAAATCGCTTAGCGTTTATATACCCAATGTTATTTTCTTTTTTTTTCAAATTGGAGATTATAGATAAGATAATTACTTATGCAGGAGATGCTTTAAATCATGAGATTTACGATTGTCATTTTAATTCCTGATTTATACAATTACACCTTGATTAAATCTGCAACCTCAGCTTTAAAAATTAAAATAGTAATATACAAACATAAAAAATCAATAACGTGTAATAATAATGTAGATCCTTAAACAGCTTTTCACTAAAAATGTTTTGAAACCGTTCGTTGAAAAGGCAGTAGAGCTTAAAAGATCCAAGGAAATACATTTCAACGGACATTTTGTTTATTTTTTTATAAATTAATAGAAAGGCGGACAAATAGATAACATACGTCAATTGATTTTTTCTGTTATACACAAAAAGAAAAACATATACAAGTTACCAAAGTACAGTACGACATGGATAAAAATCCATCTGTCTGAGGTTAATGTTATTAATAAAATAAGCACTTGCTAAGTTCTAGAAATTTGAGTAGATCATTGGCAAAAACATCACAAAAAATAGCTAAGTATGAATGAATTGAATATAAGCTAAACTTTCCTTAGCCAGATAAGAAATAAAACAGATAGCAATTTTTGATTTATTTATTTATTTATTTTAATCATTTAACATACGGGTAAACCGAAAAAGAGAAAAGCTGGAAGAACCTAGAATGAACAAGAATGAACTCTGATAAATTAATTAATTAATTTCAATTAATTGGATTTTACTCACTTATAATGCCATAAAGAAAATATGAATATGAATATTGAATAAAATCAGAGGAGTGAATTTTTAAGTGGAACATGGAACTTTGTAGTATAAAAAATTGCCCTAGCATTTGTCATTTTTGATTGCTATCAAAACTTGCATTTAAGGGCCTTAAAGGGTGCTTACAACAAAGCCGGATTTTTTTAAAATTTTTACTACATTACTGGAAATATTTATGCATAGAGAGGCTAGGAAAAGCTCATTTAGGCTCCAAAATAGTCCAATTGGATAGGAACTGAACAATTCGGGCACATAACCATAACTAATAAAATCAGACACCTATTGTTAGAAATGGGGACTGTCTATATGATTGCGAAAACATTCTTTTCGACATCCTGTTTTATTCTATTCAACATATTCTCAACGACTAAAAAAGAACTGGAAGGACTCAGGAGAGCATAAATACAATCATATAGTATACAGATGGCTCCAAAACAAACGAAGGAACCAAATCGGGTATTTTTTGTACATGCCGTAGATATGAGCAGTCAAACCCATTAGGGATGTACACTTCGGTCTTTCAAAGAGAAATACATGCTTCAAAACCTGTTCCATAAAAAATCCTAAAAGAGGTTACAGTGGCAAAAAAATCCTCATAAGATCTGATAGCCAAGCGGTTATTACAGCAATAGCATGTAAAAAAAATCACATCAAAATAAGTCAGTGAATGCATCGAAACTCACCAAAACCTGGGGAAACCTAACAACCTGATATCTTAGTTGCCGTGGCACAAAGGAATTTTGGGTAATGAAAAAGCGGACATACTGGCCAGAGTAGGATCTGCAAGATAATACATAAGCCCCCGAACCTGTACTTGGGATAACAAAATCAAACAAAGAATCGTCTGTCGCAGATTGAATCCAAATAAAACTGAAGAAGAAGTGGATAAACTCAAGCGGCGCTAGGCACAGTAAACTTATGGTAAAACCATCCTCACCAAAACTGGCAAACTCACTGCTGAATTGGACAAGTCTGGACACAGAGCGGTGATAAGTTATTAACCGGTCAATGGGATCTGAGAAAACTTCTACACAACATGAGCACATCTCAGGACAGATCCCATCTGCAGATTATGCAATGAGGAGGAGGAAACAGCCACTCGTATCATCTTCGAATGCGAAGCAACGGCTGAATGGAGATTTAACTTAGCATGCAGAAAAACCCAGGGCATGAAATTGTAGCAGCGACAATCAATGACCTAATACTTCTGAGAAGAAGGATTGAGTCTATTGCACTGAACTAGGTAACTAGGAAAGTATAATAAGCCAGAAAGCTGCAGGGCTTGGAAGCACAAACCCCTCTTCCTAGTATCCTCATCACATATCTCACTTCATACAATCCTGCATATTATTTTCTTCTTCCAACAAAATAATCGACAGATATATATTATAAAATGCATAACTACAAATGGAGAATTTGGGCATCGGTGACTGCAACGGTTTAGGCGTTGACCCGGTGCACATCACTGTAAGGTAAAGGTCCCGTGTTCGAATTCAGCGGCTATGCACAAATGGCTTTTTGCACAAAATACCGTCACCCCGAGGATTCAAATAACCTCGTAGTTGATATACACTCTTAGCCATTAAGACAGTCTTAAATAATATCGTCTTGCTATTGTATAAAGTGGTTTGATAGATAGATTTGAATTGCAAGATTGGTTACATGTTAAGAGTAGCAGAAAATAAATTCATATTGGATTTTTTTTAAACAGTTTATTTGACTGTGCCATTAATGAAAAACAAAGTTTTTAATAAAGATTTGTTCTTTCAAAGCCCATATTCATAAATTTTCGTTTTTTTTATTTCTTATTGCTGCAAGTATAGTTTGTAACAACATAGTTACCAACAATCTCGTTAAATAAGGTCACAAAATACACTTGTTCAAGCAAAGGGGTTATAGAAAAATTGGTTTAAAAAAAATAAAAAAAATATGTATTGAAAGGTAAAAATGGGCATATATATACATAGAGAGAGATTCAGACAGGCGATGTTCTTTTGTGAGAAAATATATTTTTTTTATACGTAAACACCACATATTTATACGTAAAAATGAAGGCTATTTAAAATTATTATTTATCTTTTCTTGTCGAGACTTGGCAATTTCAGAAGAGTGGGTTGTATAAACCTAAATTGAAAGCATAAATCCTGTTTAATGTATGTAATCAGGTAATAAATAAAAATAATAACATTTTGCTGTAAGATATTAGGCATTTCAAGTTTCTGGTGACATATGTTCAACGTATACATTAAATATACATATCTTACAAAGTAATAAGGAAAAATAGCTATAATTAATCAACGTATATTTGAAGTAAACCTCGCTTTTTATCTTTTAAATAAACGGTTTTTACCTCCAAGTTTACTAATTCGAGTTGAAATCTTTAGCCCATATATGCTCCATTAATGGTGGTGTGCCAATGGTGTTTATCGATCCACTGTTCTCGCTGTTTT